GGGGGGGGGGGGGGGGGGTCATGGCCAGTTACAATTTAACATCCTTTGTGAGACAGAGCCAATCACAGTCTTCCCCCGAAGGCAAACACATGGGTTCTGACGAGGGTCCATTGCATCCATTCCCACCACACTAGTGGCATGCTAGTGGTGAATCCGATCCATTGCAATGCTGAGAAAATACTGTACTAGACAGTATAGCCAGACACATCTCCAAATCCGCTCACTTGAACGCGAAGGTGACCACGAAAGCGAGTCCCGGGGAAGACACATCTCCAAATACTGTGTCTGGATGCGTGTCACAGGGAATGTAGACTGGATAACAGTGGACATGTGTCACGGAGCAGGCCCTGGGGTTTTGAGGATGTTCTTGTTCATCATAATACTGAGTGGGGGTTTTTGTTGAGTATGCTCCTGTTCGAATGCTGAGCGGGGATTTTGCATAGGACGTTGTTCGAGTACCGGGTGGGGTTTCTCAACATGCTGCTGTTCAACTACAGTGTAGGGCTTCCAACTGTGCTGCTGTTCTAATACAGAGCGCATATTCGGACTGTGCTGCTGCAGAGCACGGCTTCCAACTGTCTGTGCTGCTGTTCTAGTACAGAGGAGCACCGCTCGTGACTGTCCTGCTGTTCGAATACAGAGCGGGGGATGCCCAGTCCTGCTGCTGTTCGAATACAACGTGGGGCTTCTGACTCTATGTTGCTGTTTGAACATAGAGCGGGGGCTTCCGAGTCTGCTGCTGTTCGAATACAAAGTGGGGCTTCTGACTATGCTGCTGTTTGAATACAGAGCGATGCTTCTAACTATGATGCGCATCCTAGCACAACCATGTCATTTCAAGTACTAGCCAGGTGGGGCAGAGTGTGCATGCCTACCTAGTGCAACCATTGAAATGCAAGTTCCTAGCTCTACATACCTGCAGAGGGGGGGTGCGGGGGGAGTCACATATGCTTAGCACAACCATTCAATGAGTATGGGCATAGCTGTACACAGTAGCAGCCAGGCGGGGGCGCAAGGGTTGAATATGCCCAGCAGTGCTAGCACAAGCATCAATTACAAGTACATAATTGCTTGTAGTAGCAGCCTGCGGGTTGGTTGGTGGGGGGGGAGGGGAGTGAACATGCCTGGCATGCTGTTGGAATATACGCATATATGCCTACATGTAGCACAACCATTCAAGAACAGTAGCAGCCAGCTTGAGCATGCGCAGCACAACCATTACCCGTGAATAGTAGCAGCCAATTTGAGCATGCCCAGCTAGCACAACCATGTGGTGTTATGTACATGCATTCTTATACAGTTGGCTGCACATAGCAGTACCCACTTTGAACCTGCCCAGGAAAACCATTCAGGTTGAAGTACATAATTGCACATAGTCGCAGACAGTTTGAAAATGCCTCCCGCAACCAGTGAAGTCCACAGGATGCCTAGCATAACCCTTCAACTTCATAGGCGGCAACCATTCCCGTACAAGTACATAGCACCGAGCACCAGTACATAGGAACTAGCACCACCATTCAAATATAGAGTACATAGGATGATGCTAGGACCTAGCACCACCATTCAATTAGAGCACATAGGATGATGCTAGGACCTAGCACCACCATTCAATTAGAGCACATAGGATGATGCTAGGACCTAGCACCACCATTCAAGTTCCAACGGATGCCTACAGTGTGCCCTCGAACATAACGCATATGGCATTGCATTGTATTGGACTTTTTTCAAAAAACTAAAAAATCCGAATAGAACTCATACGCATTGTTTTCGGAAATAAGGACTGTTTAGCAGTACCCAGCGTGGATTCTAAACACTCCTAGCACAAACATTCAAATACATAGCTCCACACAGTTGCAGACCGAAGGGGTTTTCAATATGCCTCTGCTCAAGTATAGACTGGTCGTTCAAATACAGAGTGAGGCTCAGGTTGAGTATGGGGCTGTGTGACTAGAGAGGCAGGGGGGGGGGGGGGGGGGGGTAAGGGGCTTAAGGGGGAACAATTAGCAGTCCACCCCCTGCTGTCTTGTTAGGCGCTGCTCACCGCTAACCGACGGGGGGGGTAAATAGCTGGCGTGGCAATCNGTATGGGGCTGTGTGACTAGAGAGGCAGGGGGGGGGGGGTGGAGGGAAAGGTGCTTAAGTACGGAGTGCTGACTGGTCAGAATCCACCGCTGTTTGTCTACAGACCCCGCTCTGTATTCAAATGTCTGCGTTCGAACCCCGGTCTGTATTCAAATGTCTGGTTTGAACTTAGAATCCGTCGATGTTTGCGGATGGAGCAGGGGTTTCAAATACAGAGCGGGGTTCGAACGCAGACATTGGCTGCTGTTCGAGTACGAAGTGGATGCGGTCTCAAATAGTACAAATACAGAGCAGGGCTTGGACACACACATCTGCTGCTCGTCGAATACAGAGCAAGGGGTTTAAGCACACAGATTTGCTGCTGTTCGGATACTGAGCAGGGTGTGAACACAGACACATTGGCTGGGGTTTGAATACAGAGAGGGGTTTCAAAACTTTGAACACAAACATTTGCTGCGGTTTGAATACAGAGTGGGTTCGAAGCTTGAACTTCGAACACAGCCATTTGAATCCACAGACATAATAGTTTTAAATTAGAGGCCGCCAGCTTTACACAGCCGGCGGCTGGAAATAGCAAGGACATACATAGCAGGCGGAGCAGGTTGTGGTCTTTCATTCTCTCCTGGGTTCTGCAGCACACAACAGTTTCCTGCCACCTCTCTCTGCTGCAGCCAGCAGGCAGCTAACGTGTGCTCATCAGAGAAGAAAAGAAACGGTGCGGATTACGGGGTAAGTATCTGTCCAAATAAGTTAGGCCCAACAGTGGTTAAGCACCTAGATTGTTGTAGAACTGGTGCAGTTTACGGCTTTTACTGTGGTGCAGTTTACGGATTTTACTGTGGTGCAGTTTACTGCTTTTAATGTGGTGCACTTACCTGCTTTTAGTGTCGTGGAGTTTACTGCTCTTACTGTGGTGGCGCAGTTTAGGTGCAGTTTACTGGGTTTACTGTGGGGGCGCAGTTTACTGCTCTAAGACTGCTTTTACTGCGGTGCAGTTTACTGCTTTTACTGTGGTGAAGTTTGCTGCTTTTACTGTCGTGAGGTTTACGGCTTTTACTGCGGTGCAGTTTACTGCTTTAACTGTGGTGAAGTTTACTGTTGTAGCAGCTCTTACTGTGGCAGTTTACTGCCACAGTAAACTGCACCACAGTAAAAGCAGTAAACCACACAATACAACTGGTGCAGTTTACTGTTTTCACTGTTGAGCAGTTTACTGCTTGCATTGCAGTGCAGTTTACTGCCGTCGAAGCTGTTACTATGCAGAGCTGCATTACCAATCCAGCCAGGAAAAAGATAAATAAAAAGAAAGGTTCTCAGATTGTCAATCTATTAACCCTCCATAAAAAAAATTAAAATAAAAAAATCTAGCCCTCAAGATTTTCAATTTAAGGGAACTTGATTGTCAATGTGTAGACGATAAGACAATCATTATCGTTATTGTCGTCGTTATTGTTGTCATTATTGTTGTCGTTATTGTCGTCGTTGTTGTCGTCGTTGTTGTCGTTGTTGTTGTTGTTGTTGTTGTTGTTGTTGTTGTTGTTGGTCGTTGCCGTCCTCGTCCTCGTCGTCATCTTTCCATCGTTCTGTCTCTTCCTCCTCTTCCTCCTCCTCCTCGTTGTTGTTGTTGTTGTTGTTGTTGTTGTTGTTGTTGTTGTTTTGTTGTTGTTGTTGTTGTTGTTGTTGTTGTTTTGCATTTCAAAACAGTGAAGCGTAAACACTACTAATTTACAAAACAATGATTACAATTTTGATAAAATTTGGGTTGGAGATTGAGGAGGAGGAACGGGCAGCGATTTCTGTTACCAGTCCAGACTCCTGAGGGCATATGCGCCGCACTAGGACTTTCCTAGGAAGTATCGGGATGGAATTACAGCCTGACCTGGACGTATCTGACCACAATTACGTACATAGCACAGTCAAAAAACCCTAGTGTGAGTCTGCTCTGAGACTACTTGCAGCTTTTCAGCTTCACACCCATTCTCCGAGAGTCTTGCGAGGATCCCTGACATCATCATTTATTGTTCTTTTTTATCTTTGGTTTCAACTTCGAAGTTTGAACGCCGTTGTTGCTTAACCACAGCCGGGGTTAAGGTGGATTATCGGTTACAGTGTAATCAGCTAGGGGATTCTGCTGACTGCTGCGGGTTCAGCCTCTACTGATTGATGAGTCGGTGAAACTCCAACGAAAGAGTTTGTCACAGCCCCTCGTTTATTGTCCTCTTCTCCCTCTCTGCCGACGGTTCACCAGGCAGTTCATGTCGTTAAACAGAGCTGCCCGATATATCGTCAAACAGAGCTGCCCGATATATCGTCAAACAGAGCTGCCCGATATATCGTCAAACAGAGCTGCCCGGTAAACCGTCGGGAGAGAGGGAGAAGAGGACAACAATGAGGGGCTGTGACAAACTGTTTTGTCAGAGTTTCACCGACTCATCAGGATACTGATTCCTCAGCAGTCTGCAGAATCCCCTAGCTGATTACACTGGAAGTGACATTCCACCTTAACCCCGACTGTGGTCAAGCATCAATGACTGCCCGACAACTGATACACTGAGGTGGGCACCAACAATTGCCCTCAAGGTACCTGTGACAAAAATCAAAGCAGACTATCACTCACCCACACCAGATGGAAAACTCTACAGACTGTCGGTTCACACCCCATCACAAGCCAGCAAAACACCTACGAAACAAAGAAAGGTCTGTCACAGCCAAAAAATACACTCCAGACACGCCGCTGGCACAAGAGGCAAAACATGGCCGCGTAAGTGACGGCCCTGACCACTGCCGCGACCATAATATACACTCCTTACATAATAAAGATTCACAGTCAGTATCTCTGAATCCGTCAGATCTTCCCCCGGCCGGCAGACACTTCCATCTGAGGGTGTACTCACACTAGCTCTATCTTAAGTGAATGTGGCCGCATTTATGGCCAGACATGAACGTATGTGACTGCAATTTTTACGCGCATAATTAAGTAACGAAGTCATAGTGTGAGTATGCCCTGCGCGTCTGCTGTCTCTGAGAGAGAACAGCACTTTGCTGTCATACCCAGCCGATGTGGCTGAATGATACACTCACCATGTACTTGTGGACTGACACAGATCATGAGTTCAAATCCAAATGGAATCACGCCATACACTAATGTTAGGGGCTTCCCAAATGGATAACGGGGATCATGAGTTCAAATCCAAATGGATAACGGGGATCTAGAGCAATTGTAGCTTGCCAGCCTGTGCCAGGCTTTCCCAGGCTGGCATTTCTGTCGTAATCGCAGGATTGACTCCCCTCCCTTGCTGGGTGGAACTTGGCCCTGATTTCGGCCAGATACAACCAGGAAGCTCCTTAAGTCCCTTATCATCATGACTGCGTCAAATATACATTTATGATGCCACGTTTGTCAAAAAAACACCCTCAAAAAAAAAAAAAAAAAAAAAAACCCTCAGTTCCTACACCCCTGAACTGAACCGTTGAAATCCAGACCTGAGTTCGAACTCCAGTGAGAGCAGATGACTGAAATCCAGACCTGAGTTCGAGCTCCACTGTTGAGGTCACTTCCAGTGGAATTCCAACTCGGCATTGTTGAAATACAGACCCACTGAGTTCGAAATCCACTGGAAGCACATGAGTTTGAAATACTATATTACACACACGAAACAAAAAAGTTTAAAAAGTTAAAAAAACTACATACAATTCTGAATTACCTAGGGCCCGGTCAGTTCGATGATCATATCTCAAGGCCGTCACCCTTTGGGAAAAGAAAAAAAAAAATGCAAAGACGTGACCTCAAACTGTGGACCACTTTTCAAAAAAAAAAAAACTGCGGACCACCAGATTCCGTTCCAGGTTCTGCATCTGTTCCAGCCAATTGCTTTTTTTTTTCTTTTTTTTTTTTCCCATCCGATATCGAGGGAGAGTCTGCTGGTTTCAGGATGGAGGGTATGAGGGGGTACTCACACTGGCACCACCTTGAATGTACCTGACCAGATACACGGCCAGTCCTGTATGCATCTGGTGCCAATTCCGTCCAGAAAAAAAGTAAAAGAAGTGCTAGGAGAGGGAGTCTGCTGGGGCCGAGTCCCACTTACCCGAAATCTCAATCTCTGAGCTAGATTACAGAGATCAACGGCCAAAAACGAAGAATCAGCGTAAGTGGGACTTTGCCGCTGCTTTGGGTCTCAGTGGAAATCAGTATTGAAAACAGGAAAAAAAAAAAAAAAAGCCACAAACAAACAAAAAGAAGTACTGGCAGCAACACTCAGAAAAAAAAAAAAAGGTACTGAAAGCAACCCTCAGGTCTCAGACCGAATGTGTGGGGCCACGCCTCGAGCACCTGACCGAGGATTGGCTTCGAGCCACCTGGCAGAAGCACAGCAGAGCTCTACATCACCATATCTCTCTCTTTTCTTTTTTTATTTTTATTTTCATTTTTTTTCCCACCATATCTCTCTTAGTGGCCAAAGACCTGCGGAGTCGGTACCGCAGGCCAGCACAGCAAAGCCCTCTGAGACGAGGGGTCGGTGTTCCAGGGGTCATTATCTTGAAGCCAAATGTTTGTACCCCTCGGACCCCTGTTCCAGGCCCACTTAGTTCAGAAATCCAAGACCCTATCAGAGGGCGTAAATTGGAAGCCACCCCTTTCCTTCGGGCCTTTCAGGGGCGTGCTTTTTATCACCTGCTGGCAGCACTGCCCAGGAATAGATTGCAGATTCATGGAAACAAAAGGACAGAAATTTCGCTCACAATAATTTGCAAAATACCTCTATAAGTTGAAATATATGCCTAAAATGCCCCTGAAAAAGATCTGGGTAGGCGGAACGCCCCTCTGACAAAAAAAAATTGTGTGAAATACCCCTAGCATCGGTTGGACGCCCATCTTTGCAATATACCCCTACCAGGTACCATCCAACTTGGCGAAATGCCCCAGTACTTGTCGCCAACTTCTCCTAGGCGCTATTGCAAAAGCGCCAAGGCCCAAACGGGGAGGTCCAGATTGCAAAGTTACACATCCACCTGACAGGGGCACAACACAAAGATTTCGGTCCAAAAGGGCATTCCGCTCTATCCACATCTTCCAGGGGCATTTTCGCAAATTATTCTGAAATAATTTATTTCCCCGAAAAAGCAAGAAGAGGCTCAGAGCACATAGACAATCCGACCTATGGCGCCCTACCCCCTACCGACTACTCCCCACCCCCTCCAACACCCCAACCCCCCAACCCCCCCCAACCCCCCCCAACCCCTCAAGCCCACCGGGGCCAACCACCAACCCCTCCAAGTAATCATTTGACGGAGGGCTCCTGAGAGAATGGGATGAGCAGTGGAAAACAGTTCAGAGTCTTTGGACTGGCAAAGGATTTGACCAGGTACACTGCACGTTGGGAGCCCTGTGACTGGCTACCATATTCCCCTCAACACAATGCAGTGAATGCACCCTGATCACGAATGTATACAAGCTATCTTTCCGGTCCAATACAGTCATCATGAAGGTGTGTTGTGTTGGGGGAAGACCATAGCCTCTAGGAGCTAGTCCAGGGACAACCCTTCGGGAGGAAAAGCATTGGTCGAAGGCCTTAGTTTCTTTCTAGGAGTTATTATGGGGACAACCTTTGGGGGGGAGGGAGGGGGGGGGGGGGGGGGGGGGGGGGGGGGGGGGGGGGGAGGAAACATCGGCTGCGCTCCATCCTGGAGTTGGAAATTGTACAACTGTCAATGGTCTGAGAAACCACCAAGTACTTCCGAGAGTCGCGGCTCACGAATTGACACCACCGGCCCACGGCTGTTCATCCCAGCAAGCACGGTGTGGCGTGCATGTGGCTTCCACTTTTGGGAGTACTTGTGGTTTAAACCAGCAGTACGCTTGGGCGTGGTGGCCTTTTTCCGCTGCGCGCCAAGCTTCCCAAACCGCCAGCGGTACACTTCTTTTCCTTTTTGGCTGGCGCCAACCACCCAGGGTGTGTGTGTGTGTGTGTAGCCCCAACCCCCCAAAGTTTTCGTAGGTGATGAAAGATTTCTCCACGAGGTTGGAGCTGTGTACTGACGGATTAAGGTTACTTTTTCAGGGCTATTTGTATGGAGAGTGCATAGCATCTGCTGGAAGTTATACCCTCTCTCCTCTTCAGAGAGAGAGAGAGAGAGA